TGCATACAAAACTTGCAAATGACAAATAATAATAAAAAAAAAAACAGTTAGAGAGAAAAAGCTGCTCCTGTTGGTGGAGAAAACATCAAAAGAATGATAAGTAACATCTAGGTTTGGTCTTCTCCTGGTTGTCTCTGCAAAGGTTGGCATGCACTCTCACCATAAATGCAGATAATTTGCTCAGCAGATCCATTATCACTGTGGAGTAGACAGAGGCTGGAATGAGACCTGGGAAGGCTCCTGTGGGCCCTAGAGGCAGGCAGAGCTGAAGCACAAGGGTGACATGGGACATGGATTGGACAACACGGTGAGGCCAAGACTTCAAGGGCCTTCTGCTAGATGCGCTGTTCAGGGCAGAAGGCAGGCAGCTGTGCTACTCTTCTGTCCCAGAGAACAGGAAAACTCCTCTCTTTGAGGAAATATTTCCACTACTCTTCATTGTTTGGGGCCCGTTTCTTGCACAAGAATTTACTTAGGAAAGAGACAGCTCACAACTGTAATCGTCCTGGCTAAACAAAATCTCTGAATTCACAGATGATTCAAATAGCTCTCCCAGTGTATAGTTCACACTATAGTTCTTCTGAGCCCTTGACTACTTCAGGCAACAAGACTTTACACATTTCACCTCAAAAAACTGTGGTGTTTTTTACTATATTTTCTCAGTAATGGTAAGTTTCAAGTCTCAATTAAAAATATGGACAGAAAATGAAACTTCTGTTGCTGATTCTATGAAATATTTTAATCGGTCTTAAATTTATGGTGTATTATTTTCATTTCACAAAGCAGTAATTTTTATTCTTGTGTCAGGTCACTTCTTTCCCCTCCATGCCCCCAGTTTTCAGTAAGTAAATTGAAAACAAAGAAATAGATGAATGAAGTGAACAGTTTGCACAGCATTACTGTTGATTTACCCATGTTGTAAAAACAGGTAAGAGGACATTGGATTTTAGTTTGGAAAGCATGGGAACAGCTGCCCAGCCTGTCCATATTGGAGACAGTACAGGAGCATCCTTGTCTTGAAGAAAATATTAAGGTCTCCTTCACTTCAAAGCGCCTCTTGAACAGTGCCATCAGCTCTTGACACTGTGGCAGTGCCACAGAAATAGCTGATGTCCTTTTTAAAGCTCCTGCAGGAATAAGCAATGCCAGGAACACCACCTTTGGCTCACCCACTACTGCCCTTACCCTTGCCCTTGGCTGGGCACTGCCTGGACCCTCAGCAAATCAGGAAACCTCAGTCCAGGAACTCAGTGGGAACTACATCCATCTAAACCTAGGGATTCAAGAGACTGGCATTCAAATACCTCAATTTTAAATTACAGTTGTCTTTAGCTGCATCTGTGATTCTGAGGGAAGGGTCTTACCCATGACTTCTGAAACAGATTGTTTTCATTTATGTGCCTTAACACTAGTCCTGCACTGACAGTCTCTTCAGCAGGGCACAATACACTCGCTCCCTTGGCTTCTGTAAGGACAGGGTAGCAATAAAGCAAAAATTCATTACATTCTGGTTGACAGTCTAAATTTAAATGCTTAGAGGGGAAAAATCTATTTGTTTCTGACTGTAAGCTGCTTCTCATGCTAGCATTACCTCAAGCCTTACTTTTAAGTTAAGAGATTTTGACTGTGAAGCTAAGTAACGTTTCAAACAATCATGTATATGTAACTGTAACTAAACACCTACACGTAGGCAAAAAAAAGTCCAAGTTTCAAACCGCATTATATTAATGCATATAATTTGAATTAACTATTATTTCAGCAATGCTGTAAATCCCTTTGAAAGGATCTGTTGCTTGTTGATTTTGCACCATGTGAAGACATGGTAAATATGACATGTAGTCTCATCACATGAATAATGCATTCTGCATCTCAAAAAAGCAAGTTCTGCTCCAGGGAGATGCTTAATCCATTCCTTCCTTCTGGGGATGAAAGGAATTAAACTCAGTGCACTGATCTCACAGTATGTGCTCATTTGACTTTAATTATAAAATGATTATTTCAACATTTTTTCCTGTAAAATAAACCAAGCCTGAGCTCCATGTAACCTCTACAGAATTACATTACTTCTCTGTGCACTCAGTCAGTGCTCATCAATACTGCTCTTTCAATACAGTTTCACATGGAAGGATAAAACCCACCTCTAGAGGTTTGCAGCTAGTATGGTAGTTTCAGACCTCACAGCAACAAAAGCTCCCCTTTTTGATAGTTGTCAAAAATATGGAGCAGTGAAATCCTTTAAAGTGAATTCAAATGTCAGAAGAAGGAACTTTCACCAGACACAGGGAGATGCCACGATCCCATTACCAGGCTGGAAGATTTGTATCTCACACCCTGTATATTTTCACTAGTATTTTTTTCACAGACTGCTCAAACCTGTGCAAAACCCTGCATACAATCAATTATCTTGCTAAAACCCAGAAGTTTTCTCTTGGCTAATTCAATGGGCAGAGCATTCCTTGGGAATAGAACATCTGCTGTCCATGTCTTAGGAAATGACAGAACATCAAGTGGAATAGACAGCTACACTGTCAAAGCTACTCCCATGCCTCAAGCTTGAAAAAGCAGCAGCTCAGGAATGTTATGTGTTATCAGGCATACCATCTGGGGAGACAGAAATGAATGCTTTCCATATAGGATAGGATCTCCATGTGAGGATTACTGACAGTAACTCCAGCTGACATGTTCCCATCCAGGTCCAGCAGAATTTACTGGGTTCATTGCATCACACCTTCCAATTCCAAAGCTATTTGGAGCTGACCTACATAACGTCAGAAATGTGATCCTGCTCCCAAGCAAAAGCAGCTGTTCTGCTTCTGGTCCTGTACCAATTAATGCTACTAGTTAATAGTGAACTTCCTATTGCCAAATGAAGCTGGCTAGCTGGGATGCTTCTGCACCTCTGCCAAGACTAATCCATAATGTGAATAAAATGCTCACACACAAGCAAGAACAGAAACTACTTAAGGTGCTATCTCACGTACAAAACATGGTGTCAAGTGATATAAATGTTTATAGGTTATTTTTAGAAACTTCAGTCGACTCCTAAATATTCAAGTTAATTCTCAAAATAATGCCTGGTTTTGCAAAGCCTTTTATGTATCTAAACCCACAACATCCCTTGCGCTACAATGGTAATTTGCTAGGGCATGAATAATTTTAATTAGAATTTTTTTTAAGTATCCAACCAGCTCTGTCTCATTTATCCTTTGGGGTTCCTAAGGTCTAGAGATGGAACAAGGCATTCAGATAAATGTCATAACTATATTAAAAGCTAAAGAATATACATAAGCTTAAATCAGCTGTTTTCAGAACATCTCAAATACAGCAAAGCACATCTCACCGAACACTTGCATTATCTCTCTGAATAAACTGTGACTTATGCAGAGCACACAGTAAAAATTTACCTGCAATGCTCTCAAATATTCCAGAATGTGCAGCAAAATGGTAAAAAAATTAAAATAAATGGTCATTAGTCATGATGACTATTACTCAATACTTGAGATTCCTAATCTTATCATATGTTTTGAAAAAAAGTTGTGCCAGTACATTTTTATCAAACTTTCTCATTAAAGAACACAAGCAAAAATCATCAGGATTTCTCAAAATGTCATGTGAAACCATCAGCTTCAGTCTGTTCTCAGACCTTGGTGTTTTATAAACACAGGAACCACACTATAAATGATAACTACTATGATCACAGCAAAAAAATCAAAAGGTTGAATACTTTCAAGGCCACAAATATTTGGCCTATGGGCTAAAGTATTACCTGAAAAGTACCCTATAGAGGTCTTCATTCACTTTGAAGAACAATGAATATCAATTTGTATTGACTTGGATTTAAAAAACTGCTTGATGTTTGTATAATTAAATATTTTCTTAGAAGAATAACAGCATACTGGATGCTGTAGTGATGTCTTTTCATAGTGGTTATGATCTTCATAATTCTACCATAAAAATAACAGTTTTTAAATCACTAGGATGTTTTCAATATTGAACAAGAATGTTCATTATAAGTAACACTAAATAAGCCAGCCTGCTCTCTCTCACACATAGAAACATGCACACAAAGCATCCACAAAATGTGCTTTGGCTGTTCACTGTAGGTATTGGGATGTGATCAGAGCTTAGCAGTGCAAAGGTCTGAGCTCCATCCCCCATCCACAGACTCTCTGTGGGTTGTGTGTCTTTGTTCAATAATAAAACCACTTAGCACAGGCAATATTTACCATTAGAAGGTGGGTGACATGACCTTAAAGCTTCTGATTTCTATTGCAATGCATCTCCCCTTCGAGTCAGAGGTTACCGTGCTTGAGGTGAGAACAGCAACATCAGTAATTCCACCTGAGTGCAACCTTTGTCAGCGTTCATTTGTCTTCATTAAAAGGTCTCTAAAATATTACTTGAGGTGAAAATCCCTTTAGATTGCTGCACTGTCTACACATCAAGCTTGTACATATATCAGACTTGTCTGAAGTAATTAAAGGAGACACAGGTTGAAAGATCACTTATTTTAACTAACCATTGATCGAATGGTCCAGCTTTGTGCGATGTGATGACACAAAAGACAGGGATGGACAAGTGATTCTACACGTGGCAGAAAGTCACATGAAGACAAGAACTCTGGCAGAGTGTTTCTCTGTTAGACTCCTAAGCCTGGCTGATGAGTAGTGGAAAATATGAGCCAATCTCCTTCTGCTATCCAAACCAGATACCAAAGCACAGATTTGAGAGGGCCTGAAAATATATAAGCCTCTGATGAAAAGGTGGCTGTGCTCAGTGTCTCAAATCTGCTGCGAAAGACAGAGATATGGAGATGCTCTTCGCAGCAAAAGCTCGAGACAACCTAACTGTGGAAACTACTTACAGCTCTCTTGGAACTTTCCTTATAAAGTTGCTTGATAGCAATTGCAATTGCTTCTTATAACTAGTTGAATTTTGATTAGTATTATCTTGCTGTTCAAAAACAAGTTAGTCATTACAAAAAGCGAAGCAAGTCTTACCTGGAATACTCTGTCTCCTCACAGACAGTGCTCCATCAGGTGCCTTTGCCTGGTTTGCAGATTTTGTGTAAGGACTCTCATCTAAACAGAAACAAGCAACACCTCCAGTTACTGTTAAATATAATGTTAAAAACAACATTTTTTAAAAAAATCCAGGTACTGTATGAATTAGCAGTGCGGATCACAAGAGATGCTGTGAGCCAGATGAAGATGGGCATTTCTGAATGCTAATTCAATGCTCAATGCCATGTTTAGATTTGATGACAAAGGCTCTGAACAGGAGAGCTGGAAAGGATGTGCTAAAACTCAAATTGGAGGTAACACATATTGATGACAGGCCTGATATACAAAGGCTTTTTCAGGTTTAACGTAATGATAGAAATTGCCCTTTTCTCATGTTTAGAAGCTTCATGTGTCAAAGATTTGAATGACAGAGGCACTATCCCTGTTCAGGAGTAAAAGGCTTCCAGAAGCTTTTGAATATTCTGGCTGGGAAGATGCACTCCTTTTCCTTTAGGATCTGTCAATGTGTTGTTCCTTTTTCTTTGTAACAGTTGATAGGGGAAAACATCAGAAAGCTGTTGCCAAACAGGCCAGGCACATTTGTGCCTCAAGAACAGCACTGTATCTGTCTGTGTCTAAATAGGAAGCTATGTGGAACACCTACTGATCAACTTCAGTGCATAAAAGTCCACTAATGGTGGGATGAGCAGATGAGTCACCAATTAGAGCAGCATTAGGCAGAAAGTGAGTCACTTCTACATCCCTCTCAAGAGCAGAATGACAGTAAGGGAAAAGTCAAGTATATTGTTGCTTTGAAAAGGACAAGCTATAAGTGCAGGAAAGAAATGTGAATAAAGAGAAGAAATAGTATATGCATTTTATTATTTCAATCAAAAGAAAGGAATAAGAAGAAATAAGGCTTCTGCCTTTAATTGCATGCTCAATTATTGCTTTCCCTTTAATTGAGTGCTCAAAGACTTTAAAGTGTCACAGATCTTTCTGATTGCGTATTTTCAGTCAGACTGCAAATGACTGATGCATTTATACACGTGCATGAATACATGCTTAAATACTGATCAATGAGTAGAGGAATCAAAGACTACATTATCTGTTATAGCATCCTCAGATCAAACAGAACCATATAAACTTTTTCTGGAGAACCATCTTTTCAGCTGACACTCTTGACAGTATAATCCTTCTTTGCTGATTGCACTCTGGCAATCTGGCAAGGTCTCAGACTCCATTAGAAACTTGCATCAAAGGCAGCAGTCCACTTTCATACTAGTGAGATAAGGGCTTGGTCAGTATAATTTAATTTAAAACCAGGTCTCAAAGAAGAAACTGAAAGAGCTGGTTATCCTTTAGAACCAGAACTTCTGTAATTAAGTCTGCTACTGTTAGGCAGTTGCAACAACAAAAAGCTTAAATTAATTCAAAAGAAAAAAAAAAAAAAAGAAGGAAAAGCCAAAATAATTATTTATAGCCATGAACCTTGATGAAAATACAGCAAGTAGCGAAGAATATGTATTGGTAAAATAGCACAACAGCCAATATAATTGTGTTTTCTACAGTAAAATGAACTGCAATTGTTTTAGGACTATAATGTTACAAGCAGAAGAGTAACAGACTTGATTATACTGCACGCTAGTACAAACACCAACAAAATAAAGCTGCCAGCTACAGGAAATAGAAATGGAAAAAAAATTAACATGGGTCCAGGTACATAATTTAAGAAACAGGTATGTAAAGCCTTATCCTTCCATTTGAGGTAAGTGGTTAAGCTAATATTATTGCATATATAGAATATACACCCCCTCATTAATGCAAAAAATAAAAATACAGTAAGAGTGAACTAAAGTTTCTGAAAGTAGTAGCACTTATCTTTTTTTCCTTCACAGAAGAGGCACCACTAAGCTTGAACTCAATACAAGGCTTAAGACAAAAAAACTGAACATGTGGCTCATATGTCCCATCCATTACTACTTAGTTGCAGTTGCTGAACATGACAGCAGATAGTGTGAGGCACACATTTTTCTATTAAAAAGTGGGCAGGAAACATAATACAATTTCTCTATAACTGATGGATAGTGATGACTTCTGGGCCCTATTTGACTGTATGCCCTACCTATGAAAAATCTATCAATTTACAGAACAAAACAGTCCTCCCAAGTCAGACTTCTTACATACAAATTATTGCCATCAGATTGAGGGAGAGGAAAAAATGAAATAAGAATTTTCATAACCAGACCTTTTCCACTGAATCTTTGTCATTGAGCAAATGAGTAAATCATCTCCACTCCCATACTGAAAGAAGATTTTCCCAATATTGCACTGGACTAGGAGTACCTGTGGTTATTCTGAGCTCAGAACATGGAAATCTGCAGATTTTTCTGTTTAACAACACCAACGAGGAGAGGGGACTGCATATTCAAATACTTACTAGAGAGCCTGAGCAAAAATGTTTTCTACATAATAACTGGCAGATGTGAAAGTAAGACTGCACAGATGAGTTACCTAGTATTTTAATTTAAGCCTATTAACACTGAAAGCTTAACAGATGCTTATATGGGTTAGGTACTGGAGGCATGAAATTATATTGCATTGCATTTTTTAATCAGTTCACAGGTTCTCATAGCAAAACAAAGGGCCCAGAAAGTTTCTTCATAAACTTCTGAAACCCCATAAATGCAAAATATACACTATTATTATTGGGAAAGAACAATGAGCCATTGCTGGACTGGTAAGCTGTTCTCAGAACTGGGTAGGATTTTCTTCCAATGCCCTTTTAACAGTAAAATCAGACTGAAACATGACTAGAAATAGGTTTAAATGACTCCAAGGAGCAAGGGAAAATAAACACAACCAACTGTACAAAGAGTTCTTATTGCGATGCTTAACTGAGACAGAAAAGCAAAATAAAGATCAGACAGATGCAGAAATATATGTCATCCTAAAGAAACTAGAGAGACAAGGAAGTCCTGATAGCCTTGAAATGTCAGACACCATCCGTGGTGCCCCAAAGGAAAAAAATCTGGTTTTACGTACTAACAAAGTTGCATGAGTAGCCACAAGAATTTATCATCAAATTAAAATTTCTTGATGCCTTCATCCACTCTACAGTTAGCAGTGAGGGTCTTAAAAATGCAAAAATGTCTTATGACAGCACTGCCTAGGGGGATTTGTAGGAGAGTTTTGTATTACCAGCACTGATAGATTTGGAGATGAAACTCAATTCAGCAAGCCAACACACAGAAAAAGCGAAGGAGCAAAGAAGGATATAAAGCATTCCCCCTCCAAACAGGAGATAATAACTCAGTATCAGGAAAAAAAGTGATATAATTTAAGACACCACACGTACAAAGTAGAGGGAGAAACAGGCTAGATTCAGAAAGATAAATCTCATCTGTTTACACCCTTAATAGCAGCACATCATCAGCAGGGAGCGAGCCACAGTCCATAAAGAACTCACAGGCCAAACTGCACTGCCCCAAAGCACAGAAATGGCTCTCCTGGACACACAAACCCTGTTTGTGCTGCAAACCCTGCCACGCAGAGCACCAGTGCTTGGTTCTTGTCTGCTTCTGAAGGAACCACTCCACAGGTGGCCACATCCTCTATTAGCTTAGCTACACCCATCCACTTGTGCAGCTGCTTTTTACACCACTGGCCTTTTTTCCTCTTGTAATTCCTCTGGCTAAAAAATTCAGACAACTCAGAGTAAACAATTTCAGCTAGTCAGTAGGTCATATAAAAGTGTCAGCTGTGCCAGCATATCTCTTCACTCAGTGACTGCAGGAAACCAACCCTCTTAGGCTGTTAAGAGGCAAGGGTCATTTCCCCCAAATTCATACTCTGCATGTTTCTTACAGTTGTAAATGTGCAATAGTGAAAGATGTACATTGTATTAATTCACTCCTTCTTGGCAGAACACAAGTGATAATTTGAGAGGTGACACCTTGCAGATTATTAAGATTCTTAACCTAACCAAAGGGACCTTTTTATCTTCTCCTTTTTTTGTCCTCACCAAACAGCCCTGAACACCAGTAACAGTAGCTTGCACATCATCCTTTCAAAGCTCTGCATAGCATTAAAGACTACAAAGATAATATCAAGTGGACAGGGAAGTACTCCGACTCATTACAGCTATTACTGTAGGTTTATTGCCTTTTGCATGTGTGGTAGATAAACAGCTTTTTTTGCACTTTCCTCCCTATTTTTAACCTGATGGCATCTCTATCCTGTAACTGAATGATGCAATCTTTGAGTTAGGGACCTTGCTGTGACCCATTTATGTATATCATTCTGCATTGCCCTTACTATACAGGTGTGGAACATCTGTCCAAGACTAAAGGCTCTAAAGACTGTGAGAAAGAACAGTAATGTAACCCCAGAAAGAATATACATGAGACAATGTGTACAGATATATATCTGAAGTGCCTGTTACTGTGTCAGCAAAATGACCATGTGAAATCTTTAGATATTTGCTGTATTTAGTTTAATATCCTTTGAAGGATACCAACTGGGGGCACATTAATAGGCAATAAAAGGAAGGCCTAAAGATACTTCCTCAACAGTGAAGTCTAGATGTTCAATGTTTCAAGCAGTTTATGACCACTGAACTATTCTTGTGTCTCTCTTGGGGGTTGTGAAAGCTATTGACACAAGAATGTTGTTTACAGGTGTGGTAAAGGCTAAGGGCACTCCCTCCTTCAACTCTTGAAAAAGGTTTAGGGGATGTTTCCTTCACTGCTGCTGCCACACACGTCCATGCTGCTGATAACTGCTGAACCCAGTAAGTGTGTCCAAATCCTGTGCGGGACTAGGTGGCCCCAGAAGGTGACTAAGAACAGCTTAGTTTGATACAGCCTGTTTGATATGAAGGGGAAGCTTCTTCCCATCCCACTGGGAACAGCTCCTGAACAGCTCTGTGGCTGTCACTTTGCCCCTCCTGCATGGACAGGAAAGGTGAACATGCTTCACTTGTTCTCAGCTCTATGTCACCATTTGTACCTGCTTCTCTACTGCAAAACCTGCATTACAGGGAGCATGTGACATCAAATTTGTACATGAGTAATTTC